TCAAAACATTTTCTTTCTGCTTCGGATGAGCTCCTCTTTTCCCCCCTCTCCCTCCCACACACCGGAATTTATTCATTTGTCTTTCTCTTTAAATTAGCACGTGAAAAGGAGGATTAGAAGGTTCAATCAAGTCTGCTGCTTTGATTTAATTTTTCAAGGCCAAATCAGAAATGCTGTGTCCAAGGGAATATAAAATTAATACAAGCAAAATAGAACATGGATCTATAAAAAAAGAAATACTGTATAGGCTTATGTTGTTCTCTCTGTATGTGTTCTAACTAGGTTTGGAGCACTGAAAATGGCATTTTAAGGGAAAAGAAACCTGAGCTAAGTGTTATCAACAGGAAGTGTCTGTTGATTTGAGATTGTGGAATGCGTTCAGTTTTTAGGAGTCAGGGAAGTGCCAAACAGGATCTGTGGTCTATTTCTTATTTGGAGCAGTTTGGTAGTGCTGAAGAAATTGTCACCTTGCCCTAATAGAACACCGACCATCATAGGAAATGCCAAATAATTTTTGGATCTGAAACTTATATTTATATTTAATTGTATAACCATTATTATTAACACTTAGTAACTCTCATGTGTATTTACTGCAGAGTTGTAATCCAGCAGCTCTAGGGTGGAGGCACATTTGACCTTTTATCATCTATCCGATAGTTACCTGAAGGAACCCTGGTGACATATTGGCTATCAGTTAGGCTAACTGCAAGGTTGGCAGTTTGAAACCACCAGCTGCTCCAGAAATCCACAAGGGTAATTCTACCCTGTCTGCTAGGTTGCTATGAGTCGAAATTGAGTTGATGGTAGTGAGTGAGTGATACCTATCTGAATATGTATGTTACGGATTAAACCATTTCCCTCCAAGTTGTGCCTTCCTAACACTATGCCTGTGGTCATAATCGCGTTTGTGAATGGGTGCTTTTTGTTATGACAATGAGGCAAGGGAATATGTACCATATATACATGTGTATAAGCCAACCCGAATATCTGCCGAGGCACCTAATTTTCCCACAAAAACTGCATTAAAAATGTGCTGGCAAAAGTGGCTTATACTCAAGTATATACAGCATACGTATTCAGCTGAGATAAAATACAGGCTTGGTAAAGTACAAAGATACCAGGAGGCTATTCCAGAAAGATGGAAGCTAATGACCTGACCAGTCAACTGGAAAATATCCATATTTGACTCCACTGGAAGAGATTCATACTTGTGCCCGTTCCGAAGAAAGGTGAGCCACAGAATGTGGAATGGCTGATATCAGATGGCTCTTGATGAAAGGACAGAACATTAGAAAGATGCTTACCTGTGTTTTATTTAGTGTGTGAAGGCATTTGGGGTTGTGTTGGGTTCACAATGAATGTTTCACAGATCACACTGAGGAGACTGGGATTTCCAGAACACTTAGATATGCTCATGCCCCACTGAACATAACCAAAGAAGCAGCTGTTGCAACAGAAACAGGGCACACATACTCTGTGGTTTACAATCAGGAGATGTGTGTGGCAGTGGTCTGTCTCCCCACCACACTCATCAATCTGTATGCTGCACAAATAGTCTGAAAAGCTGGATTATGTGAAGAAGAATGACTACAGCCTTTAACATGAATCATACTCAACATACACCAAAAATCCTCACAGCTGGACCCATGAAGAGCATCATGATAAACGCAGAAAATGTGGAAGTTATGAGGATTTCATTAAGCTTGAGCCCACCTCACTTCCCTGGGAAGTAGCAATCCAGAAATCAAACCACATACTGTGTTAGACACATCTGCTCCCTAAGACCTCTTTAAAGTGTTAGAAGGCAAAGATGTGCGTTAGAGGACTAAGGTGCACCTAACCGAATGAAGACTTGACTTGGCACATTTAGTGACCTTGTATGCATGCGGGGTCTGGGCGATGAATAAGGGAGAGTGAAGAAGAAGTGGTGTTGATGAAGAATACTGAATATCCATGGATGGCCAGAAACATGAACCAATCCGTCTTGGAAAAAGGATAGCCAGATATGATGACGAGACTGACTATTGTAGGTATTTTGGATGTGTTCTCAGGTGGAACCATGTGGTAGTTACATCATCTGGTGTCAATTTGAGACTTAAGAGTAAGGGGTGGAGTTTAGCCTGCCAATCAGGTTGCAGCTTGATGACCTCATTTGGAGGCATGAAGGAGATAAATAGCTCACTGAAGGCTGGACATGTTCACTCCCTGTGAGACATTACTGATGATGAGCCTGATGGAGGAGCCACATGGAGACCCACGCCACTGGATCCACAAGACTTTCCACCCACTGGCCTGTGATCTTCCTGCATTCAGCATTATTGCATAGCTGCGTGAGTCTCAAGAGATTTATGGACTTGTATTGGACAAATGGGCTAACATCGAACTTATGGACTTGATCTGGACTGGGCTGGGATAGTTTCTCAATATTCAATTGCTCTTGTATATAAAGCTCTCTCATACTCATATGAGTGTCCATGCATTTGTTTCTCTAATCCACCTGGACGAACACAGGCCAGTTCTGGAGCAGGACATCCTGGTTGATAAAGTAGAGGGGCAGTGAAAACATGGAGGCTTCCCGGTGAGATGGCTCGACACCGAGAGCCCCAGCAATGGGCTCCCACATAGCCAGGGTGATGAGGGCGGTGCAGGGCCAGGCAGGGTTTCTTTCTGTTGGACGTAGGGGCCCTGTGGGCTGGAAGCAGCACCACACTGGGGAACCTTGCAGGAAGCCCACCTCCACATAGTACATGGATCTCTGAATCTGAAGGGGATTTCTGAATTCCTTATGAAATGTCCTATCAGCATTTTCAGATGCCATCACACCCGTGTGCCCACCTCTCCGCCCTCCTTGGTCTTTGTCATTTATGTGGTGTATTTGTTCAGTATGCTCAGAGCCTCTCTTTCCAATGTTAATATTCCATTTGATTTTTATGAAAACAGATAGAGACACCATCGCAGAGGATGATGTATCTGTTGAGAGCAGTTGAATGCTATGCAAAGTTAGCATTTGCAAGCGAGGGCTGTAGGGTCACCTCGGCAGTACTGGAATCGATTCCATGGTGTCGGTCTGTTTACAAGGCACTGAGCAGTCTCAGTTGTGCTCAAGGCAGTCCTGGACCGTCTTCTCTCTTTAAGGGTCTACAGCATTCAAATGTTTTTAATTTTCCATGCTGCCGACTGACACCGAATGCCAGTGGATTATAAAATGGGGAAACTGAATCCTTGATGGTAACTTAGTGATTTTCCTTCAGTCTACTTTCTTCCACACACAGCATATCTTAAACCAGTGGTTTTCGACCTTCCTCATGCTGCGGCCCTTTCATACAGCTCCTCATGTGGTGGTGACCCCCAACCATAACATTATTTTCATTGCTACTTCATCACTGTCATTTTGCTACTGGGATGAATTGGGCAACTCCTGTGGAAGGGTTTTATGCCTGCTGGCGCAGCTTCACAAATTCCCTTCTCCTCTTCTCTCTTGGGCCTGACGCCGAACTCCTTGTCTTTGAAATGGTAGCCAAGTGCAGCTGGAGGCCCTCTGGGACAATTCCATTTTTTCTTGGAATGTCAAGACTTGACTTTGTTTCTTGGGAGTGTTTTCCGCATCACTAGTGGCACTTCACGTGGGCCCCGTGGTGGTGGTCACGGTTCGTGGTCTTGTTCTGGCAATGACACATGTATGAGGACCTCGAGAGAGCCCACAACTTTCTGGGGAGACCAGCCGCTCCCGTGGAGATGACGTGGCACCATGCTGTAATAAAAAGGCATCCTTGCACAATGGACGCTCCACGCAGTTCGAACCTGCGTTAGTCAAGGGTCTACTGGGGAGCAAAATGGGCCTGCTGCAAAGGCTCGTGTGGTGCCGCATCATGTCCTTCCCTCCTCAGACGCTTGATGTGAACACTTTCCTGTGTGACAGTGAGGACCACGCCTGGTGGTGTACGTGTAGAGGCGCAGGCTGCTCAGCGAGAAAAGGGGATGAGCAATTGGTAACCCATATCAATACGTATCAAACTCCCTTACTTGATGAGAGACTGTCTCATGTGCTTCGGACATGGTGCCAGGAGAGACCAGTCCGTGGAGAAGGACATGCTTGGTAAAGTGGAAGGGCAGCAAAAAAGAGGAAGGCCCTCCATAAGATAGATAACTCAATGGCTGCTCCAGTGGGCTCAGGCATCAGGACCATGTGAGGAGGGCGCAGGACTCAGCAGGGTTTTTGTCTGTTGAGCAGCTGGCTGGGCGTCGGAACTGGCCCCAGAGCAGCCAACCACAGGAGCGCCATCTTATTTGAAGGAAAGCAGACAGAAACAAGCCATTCCGTGTGCAGTGTGGTAGTGTCAGACGTTCTTGTCTAACCTCAGGAGTGGGGAGAGTTTCTGGTCATCATCTGCCTCAGTCCACAGCCAGTCCCTGGAAGGTGGAGGTCAGACACATCTCTACGCTTCAACCTTTCTACCGATTCTGACACCAGCTGGCCCCTTCCCCAGCACTGCTTCTTGGCTGGGTTCACTGACCCCTTGCCATGCCTCCGTGTCTTGTCTCTCAAACTGGGGCAGCAGTTTGGTCACAGGCTCCGTGATGGTAGTTAAAGCGCTTTGTAAAAAGAGGAGGTCCGGGTGGTGCAGCGGGTCAGGCATTCGCCTGGCAACTGCAAGGTCAGTGGTTCAAACCCACCAGGTGCTCGGTGGGAGAAAGCTAAGGCTGTCTGCTCCTGTAAAGATGCGCAGTCTTGGAAACTCTGTATGGGGCTACCGTGATTCAGAGTCGACCACTGGCAGTGGATTCCTGTCTGCGAGTTCCCCCTGCAGATATGTTCCCTTCCGCAGGAGAGAGCTGCTGCGGTTTCTTCTTCAGCAGTGAGACTCATCGTTTGGAAACCATTTGGGAAAGTTCATACAAGTGGAAAGCAGTTTTTGTTGAGCGTCTTGCCTTTTACATCTTGATGAAACACGGAGAGAAACACGTGCAAACATATATGTATTTTTTCTCCCTCTTTGTAGGCAATTACTCTCTTAACGGAATTAATTAGAGAAAACTTCAGGAACAGCAAACTGAAGCAGTGCCTCCTACCAGCCCTCGGGGAGCTCATCTATCTGGTAGCCTCCCAGGTGAGCCCGTCTGATGGACTCTGTTGCTGCCTGACATGCTCTGACGTGTCCTGACTCACACGTAGGAATACCTGACCTAAGTGAGGAGACATTGAGCTTCCAGCAGGGTATGGTCAGTCAGTCTCTCTCCATTCCTCTCTTTCTCCGTGTCACTCTGTCTACCTGTCCTTCTTCCTCTTGTTCCCTTGCTCCCGGGGATTCACTTCCTTCTGGGTGTAGGAAAGTCTCAGGACGTATTTTAAACAAATGGGCAGCATGGCCCCACAGTACCTCCTAGGTGGTTACCATCTTTGATTCTGTCAAGCAAGAGGAAGTCCTTATTTTCGCTAGTATAAAGGTTCCTTCACCGTGTGAAATACTAGTTCGTGCAAATTGTGGTTTATTTCTCAAAGTGGCCATAGGAACGTGTGACTGTTAATGTTTGAACGTTTCATTTCTGCAGCATCAATGTAAAAGTCGAGATTTAATCCAATAGAGAAAACACATTTCCTTGAATGTTTCTAAAAGAATACTGATAAATTATGTGTTCTGTATTAAATTCCATACTGTCTGAGAATTTTAAATAACTACTGGTACTTTTTAAGTCAATCAAAAGTTTTCTCATCGGGTATTTTCTCTCGTCATTTTAGAACTTGCTTAAATAATCTATAACTGTAGTATTAGTATCTAAATTAAACTTACTTTTTGGACAACTGTCATTTTAAGGCAAATGTGTCAATGGTTATTAAGCATTAATATTATCAACAATGTAGCTTCATAATTAGCATTGATAACTAATAGAGCAAATCTTTCTTTTTCAGATAGGGTTTGGCTCTTTCTAGCGAGTCCTATGTTAGAATACATTTTAGAATCAGTTTATATAATTCTGTGAAATACCTGCTTCAAAGTTTAAAGAAAAATGACATTGACTGTGTTTATCAATTTGAAGATAATTGATCTTTTTGTGATTTTGAGTCTTTCAATACATGCTTGGAATTATACTGAATATGTTTATCAATTGGGAACTTACTGATATCTCCAGGATCTCCAGTTGGGTCCTCCAGTTAAAGACAAGTGGTGTTGCTCTCCATATATTTGAATTATAAGCACTTTTAAGTTACTTTATTCTGTTCATAAAACCTTAGGATTTCTTCTCCGGTGACTTTATAATGTGAAGTGACAACATATTCATTTACTAGGTTAGAAAACTAGGAAGAAGAGAGAGGTAGACAGGGAAAAGTCTCCCTCCCGCTTTGTCTTCCGTTGGCTTACTTTCCCCCAGAAGTACCACTTAATTACTGTTTGGTTTATATTCAGAGAGTTTGTTTCGTAAACAAACCGAAATGTAGATCTTCTCTTGCCTCCTTTTTTTGCAGTAGGCAACAACGGATTGTTGTCGCTTAATGATAGTGTTGCAGAGAGAGATTTCTTAATGAGTGGATATAGCTTCTCCTTTCCTGCACTCCTCCCTTCTGCCTTTTTTTTCTTTCATTTTCATCTCAAGAGCCTTCTTTTGGTGACCACTGTGTGTCCATTTTCGAGAAAATTAGTTTCCTGGCAGTTCCTTGTGGGTGGGCCTGGAGAGAGTAATTCTTCTGTACACTGAGCCTGGATCCTGCCCCATGACCCTGACAGCAGGGCGTATGTTATCTATTCTGTATACTGAGCCTGGATCCTGTTCCGAGGCCCTGACAGCAGGGTGTATGTTTTCTATTCTGTACACTGAGCCTGGATCCTGCTCCGAGGCCCTGACAGCAGGGCGTATGTTTTCTATTCTGTACACTGAGCCTGGATCCTGCCCCACGGCCCTGACAGCAGGGCGTATGTTTTCTATTCTGTACACTGAGCCTGGATCCTGCTCCGAGGACCTGACAGCAGGGTGTATGTTTTCTGTTCTGTACACTGAGCCTGGATCCTGTCCCACAGCCCTGACAGCAGGGCGTATGTTTTCTAAATTTTGCTGGTCCTCAAGGTGAAAGCCAGCTCTGTTTAACCCTCTGTGCCTACACTTGTCTGATAGCCATTTTTTATTATTTGTTTTCTTGCTAGAGCTTGGATGCCTTTGAGAACATTACCAACTTAAGCTTTAGTCATTTGTATCCAGAGTAGTTGGGCACCTTATCTGCTGTCTTGCCTGGCACAGAAATGCCCATCTAATTCTTTTTGTTTTCTCCTCATTTGCTCTCTCTCCAGTTTAGCTGAGGTATAATGGGAAGATCACAAATGACACATAGTTAGAGATTGCTGTCTTTTGCATCTTTATATGTTTGTACACATGCCACAGTCCAGCTAGTGACCGTGTCCATCACCACCGGAGATTTCCTCGGTCCCCTGGTAGTCTTTCCCTGTCCCTTCTTTCTGTTCCCCCTTCCTATGACTCATTTGTTTTCTATCGTTAAGGATTAGTTTGCATTTTCTAGAATGTTGTATAAATGGAATCTTATAATACAGATTCTTATTAATTTCTGAAAGTAAATCTAAACCGTAGTTTTTTAAGCCTTAATTGCACTTCCTCTAGGCTGTTTTAATAAAGGGGTGATTCTGTGCCCACGGCAGATGATCACATTTTGTAAACCAGTAAAGGAAGTTCTGTTATGGGTCTTTGAAAATAATGTCTCATGAGATAGTGGTGTTTCTCTCTCGCTCGCTCTCTCTCTCAGATTGGATTTTTTGTGTGATGGCCAATTAAGCTCCCTTGACAGCCCATTGGCAAACTCCTATGGGATAAGGCGGCCCACCCCAATTCTCTTCTCTAGAGACCCACCAGGGTCTGGGTCCAACTCCAAGATTTATACTGCTTTGCCAGTTACCACGAGGAATCAGTATGGTGTCTGGGATTTCAACAAGGCGTCTCACCAGTAGTGGGAGCTCTATGTTCTGTTGCTTCAGTTTTTAGAGCCCCACTGCCCGAGGGCAGGCCCAGAGAAGGCATAGGGCTAGTTTTCTCCAAGGTTGGGGTATCCCGTCATTATGATAAAAGGGGTGGTCCTTCAGGTTTGGATGGGAGTGATTGTCTGGGGGTCCAGCCACTTGTGGTGGGGAGTGCAGGCAGCTCATGGACTTAGGGAAGGAAGAGGGGCGGGAGAGCAGAGGGCAGGGACTGGTCAGGACTGTGGCGGAGGCAGGTGAACAAGTGAAGGAAAACAAGTTGCCTTTGAAGTTTAACTTGCGTACTCGGGACATTTTGAATTGGAGCAGCTCCTGGTGAGACCAGAAGATGACCATATGTGGGTTTTTTTTAACTAGGGGGTGGTTTTATGGGCTGTAATTCTCATCGTGCATGTAAAATGCTTTTGGATCAGTAATGTGCCAATTTGGAAGAAATATTAAACCAACAAGCCTTATTTCTTCCGTTTTGCAAAACAAACAAGCAAAAAACCTCACCAATCTCACTGCCACTGAGTCGATGCAGACTCACAGTGACCCTGCAGGGCAGGTTAGAACTGCCCCTGGGAGCTTTCCAGGCTGTGGCTCCTACAGGAGCAGAGTTCTCTATTGGTCCCCTCTTTCTCCCACGGAACCGCTGAGGGTTTTGAACCGCCGACCTTGTGGATCACAGCCCAATGCCCAACTACCTCACCACAGGGATGTGTTGAAAAGAGTTTTTTGAAACCCTTTCTGTGTGGCACATGATATGATTTTATTTGATAGGTTGCAGGGGTGTTCTCATGGTTATTACATGGGTTTGGTTAATCTTGTGTCAGAGAATTATTGCTAATGTCCTGGAAACCCATGCACCTGCTAACTGTATTTGCTTATATTTATGTGGCACACCGTCTTAACTAGACAACACACCACCTTTTGCTGGTGTACTATCCTGAGCTATTACTGAAACTAGTGCCTTCCGTGCTTTCAAATCCATCTAGATCCTGTAATACTATTCTGCCATAGGACAGGCTGTCTGTGTGATCACCTACCGTTATCCAGAGAGCGGTTTCACTGTCCATCAGCTCCTATCGTCCTCCTCAAATATTCCTACCTGGCTTCTGAAGAGAAGATCGTAGCACTATGTAGCACTATGCAGAGTGTGATGCGCTGTGGAGGGCACATCTTTACCACGCGATCAAAGATTAGAGGAGGTCCCAACTGGCAAGAACTTTAAATAGAAGGTGCTGTTTCGGGAGTTTTGTGTTTGTGGAACTCTGCTTTTTTCCGTCCTGAGTTAATATTGTTTGTTCTGTTCACTTCACTGCCTTTCCTTCCACTTCATTTTAGGAAGAGAGAAAAAAGAACCCGAGAGAATGCTGGGCCGTCCCCTTGGCTGCGTACACCGTGCTAATGAGGTGCCTCCGGGAAGGGGTAAGCCTTCTTTGTGATCCTCTGTAGACACCCTCCATTGTCATAGCCCTTCAGGCACTGTGTGAGGAGTTTCGCCTGCAGCCGTTTGGAGCCGCCTTCTCCACCAAGCATTGCTCCTGAATTTAAATAATCCCAACAAGCCTCCTTGAGTAAAGGGCCTACCAGGCATGGAGCCAGTGTCAAAATCAACTCTCTTTTGCTTCAATGGCTTGCTGTTGAAAGAGATGATGGCAAATATAAGTAGCCTCCTGAGCTCTGCACAGCATGTTTTCCATCCGTCCCCCTCTTGAGTTATTGACAAAACCTGGTTAAGTTAGGAAGGTGGATGCCGGGTGTTTGCCTTTGCCAGACTATGTTTGGGGAGCTCCCAGCACCCCGTGATTGCTGAGCCTCAGAAGCAGGACCACTTCCATGCGTGCCCGTTGGCCTTCATCGTGTATTTCCTGTGTGACAGGGGTTTTCAGTTGACCTCACATCTGATGCAAGTGTTAAGGCTTGGAACTCAACCCCTGGCCAACCAGTGGCTTCATTTATCTGTCGCTCCTACAGGTAACTAACTACTGGACTGTAAAAGTTGGCTCCCCCCCTTGTTTGTTATAGACCATTGGACATTATTTCACCCAAGGCAAAGCCATAGGCTAAAAACATTCCTTAAGGGGTGAAGAACTATATCTCAAGACACATATCCTAGTTTGTATTCATTGCTCCCTGGGACAACGCTTTCAGGGTAGGAAAGCTCCAGAAAGCTTTGCGGAGTGATGCAGAATTTGGGGTGGGGGTGGGGACACTTTCTAGCGCCATAGGTCAGTTGTCATTGTGGAAGCTGAATGAAGTAAAAAGCTCATTTGATCAGCGATAGGATAGGGCCCCCAAGTCATGCTCACTTGAGTTAAAATACTTGTTAGGGTCCCTCGTGAAAGGCCTCAGGTAAGGCACGTGTGTGGTGGGGGAGGGGGAGGGTGGCAGTGCAGGGCCAGTAGAGATGAACCAGGGAGGATTCTTTTCTGCTCCTGCCTCTCACCTGGTGTGGGAGATAATGTAAAAGACAGCCTGCAAAAGCTGGAACTTCTATAAGGCGGAAATCGTTGAGACAGGATAACTCAAATAATTTCCACTAATAGGAAGAGATAGAACAGTGGCAAGATTCAGGGTACAGTATAGCACCGATGAAACACAATATTCCTCTAGTTCTTTAATGCTTTCCCTCCCCCGCCCCCCGCACTATCATGACCCCAGTTCTGTCTTACAAATCCGGCTAGACCAGAGCATGTCCATTGGTACAGAGAAGTGCTCTTGACATGCAGATTCTAGAACAGATAACCCCCCAGAACCAATCATGGGAGTAGCGATGCCTTGAGGGTAGGGAGAAGCTTTGGGGAGAAAAGGGGCACTGATCTCAATGATTGACATGCAACCACCCCCCTGGGGGCGGGGGGAAAGAACAAGAGAAACGTGGGTGAAAGGAGACAGCGGATGGTGTAAAATATGAAAATAAAAATAATTTATAAATTATCAAGGGTTCATAAAGGTGGGAGGGTCAAAGAGAGGAGCTGATACCAAGGGCTCAAGTAGAAAGAAAATGTTTTGGAAGTGTTGATGGCAACATATGTACAAATGGGCTCCATACTATTGATGTATGGATTGTTATAAGAGCTGGAAGAACCCCCAATAAAATGATTTATTAAAATTATAAAAAAAGAAGGAAAGTGTCAAGATTGCACCTTGTTCAAGAGAGAAAACAGGTGAGACTTGCAGTGAACAGTCTGGCAGGGGAGGGAGGCACCTACCTGGCCTCTTTTGACTTCTCCATTGCCACAAGGCAGGGGCTTAGGTGTGCCTCCCCTCCATCTTTCTTCCCTTATGCTGATGACAGCCATTCCTCCCACGGCATGCCGCATCTCTTCTGGGAAAAGTAATTTCTCGAAATGGTCTTATAGAGCTCGTAGGCAATATTCAACCTTCAAGGAGGTTCACCAGAGGCGTTAACAGGTGACCACGAGGCCGGATCAGAAAATGTGATCCACTGGTCCACTGGTCCACAGCAGCACCTGTACACCAGCAGCAGCCAAGTGTTTCTTCCATCCTCGACGCCTCAGCCTCGTGGTCCCTTGGCCTCTGCCTCTGTGGGCCAGGACGTCAGTGCGCTGCCCCGCCCCACAGCCTCGAGGTCTGGGTGCTGCTTCTGTGTTCTGTCTCCTTGCCCTTGGCGTCTGCCTCCACGACTTCTGACAGCAAGCTCGAACAGGCTCCATTTCCCATGGTGCTGGCAGCGCTCTCTCTGCAGCTGCTTCAAAGCTGGCTCATCCAGATAGCCGGGCAGGTGGTGACTACAATGACCAGTGCCCCTGGCGAGTGTGACGCATGTCCTCTTTGCACCACCGTCCATCCACTCATTCGGCAGGAGGTACAGAGACCTGGGTAGAAGAGGCATATGAAGAAAGGTCACTCTACCCCAGACCCGGAAATACAAGGCAGACCTGTGAGTTCCGGCTCTGGCAGGTTTCAGGGTACAGAGTGACATGGAAGAAACGATAGGGACACAAAGGGGGAGGGTGCATTTTCTTAGGATCCTCTGTAACAAAGGTTTAAATTTTAAAACTTGAATTAGTGCCTAGTACCAGATGATTAATTCCAGTCCTCGAGATTTGATCTTTTATCTAGTGTCTTCCCTGTCCTGCACCCCAAGGTTTTCAATTGCATGTGTGGTGTGAGCAGGATTGCTGTGCCTCCACCACTTTTCTTCTCTGGGTCCTGTTGTCATTGTGACCCAAACTACTGTCACTAATCATGGAGAAGTACCATCGCTTTTCAGTTTAGCATCATACATTCGCTTTTTGTTGTCTTGCTATGTTTGGCAATTTTTGTGTTGTTTTTTTCACAAAAGGGGAAAGGCCAGAACTGTGTAAGTTGTGAACTGTTTATACTTCGTTTCAACAGCTGGCAGGTGTGGGCTTGGTGCAGTCTGTACACCAACATTGTCTGCACAAGACAGACAGATGGGGAGACGGTGCACGTGGGGTGCCTTTGGGTGGCAGAGTAGCAGTGCCCCAGGGGTTTTCCAGGCTTTCATCTTGGGGGATGGCTATTCCCCTCACTAAAGGATTCCTGTCCTTAGAACAGTTTAATTATAGAAGTTTCTTACGTAGTCAGTTCATCTAAAGTATTTAGGACCTACTTTAAGGTAAAATAAATGTTGTGTTTTTTCTTTCAGCAGCTTTTGATTGCTTCCATGCAGTGAACACTTTTCCCAGCGCCGACTGGTATTGGTACAGGGCTGGCACAGTGGGTTCAGTTGTGAGGATGGCGCAGGACCAGGGGGCGGCATTATGTTCTGTTTCACAAGGGGTCTCCATGAGTCAGAACTGGCTTGACGGCACGAAACACTACCAATAACTGGTATTTCTGAGTATAGCCTTTTATTTTTATTGTAGCCTGCACCTCACAGACGGATATGCAAGACAGATACGGATAATTAGAAATGAACACATTCGGGGAATCTATCACAGTGATCGACATAACCCCCCCCTCCTCCGGGGGACGGACAACAAGAAAGTGGGTGAAGGGAGACAGCGGTCCGTGTAAGACATGGAAAAAAAAAAGATTTATAAATTACCAAGAGTTTATGAGGGAGGGTGGGAAAGGGGGAAAATGAGCTGATACCAAGGGCTCAAGTAGAAAGAAAATGTTTTGAAAAGGCTGATGGCAACATATGTACAAATGTGCTTGACACAATGGATGGATGATGGATTGTGATAAGAGCTGTAAGAGCCTCCAATAAAATGACTTAAAACACAAAAAATAAAAACCCACAAAAAAGTTATATACACACGCTTGTTATTTCTGTCTCTCTCTCTCTCTCTCACACACATACACACACACATCATACTACTTGTAAAAGAAAACAACAAAGATACACACACACACACACACACACACACCACACTTCCTGTAAAACAAAGCAACAAAGATGCATCCCTTCCTCCATGGAGTAACCACTGTCCTTACTTTCGTGATCCACGGTCCAGAGTCTCTCTGTCGTGATGCCGCCCTTGGTGCTTGGAGTTTATTCTGCCTGCCTCACTGGCACCCTGTTCAGGCGTGGAGAGGCCTGCCCCCCTGGGTGTCCTAAGCCGTTACCTTAGCTTGTTCAGGCTGGCATCTTTCCGGAGGCCTCCCGCAGAGCAGCCCGTGGGTTTGAACGGCAGAGCCTCCTTTTGTGCCACTGGGCCCTGAGAAGCACACAGAGGTGACCTTTTCCCAGTAGCTGTGAAGGTTGCACCCCTCATCTCCCATGGCGGGTGTGCTCACAGGGGCAGTTCTAGAGCTCTCCTTTGCTGGACTTGACATGTATCCGTGGGCAAATTATTAGCCGTAAAACCCTTTTCAAGGATTGACAACGATTGGCTTTCTGTGTAAGTTTTTCTTTTACTCCCACCAACAGTTTTATTGGCGTATAATTGATGTATCAGACAATTCAATAGTTCATTTGTTCAGTCATATCAAGGAGAATTGTACAATCACCACCACATCAATTTTAGAGCACCTCCCCACCCCCGTGGTTAAATCAGCTTTAAAATGAATTCTGCAGCCACAATCCATTCTAGTGCTCCTCCACCTTCATTATTTACTCCCGAAATCCCCCAGCTTTTATGTTCTGTTGACCGTTTATCCCATTACATGCTTTGTACTCTTAAACATTTCACAGCTCTTCCAAATCTTTCTCATGTGCTGTCTTTCTGCTTTTTGAAAATCTTTTTTGTGACTTGTATTTTTGCAGGTCATCATGAGTCCATGCATGCAATGTGTGTAGCATGCATAGGAAAATGACCCTTGAGGGTGGTTACTTGGTTTTGGAAAACTGGTAGAGCATGGCATTGCTTGCATAAAAACGATGCCATTGTATTACATTAGAGAGAATGGCACATGTATGATTTCAACTGTTTGTGATGTGTTGAGGTTTCCCTTACAGCTCAGGATGTGTGCACTGCAGGGTAAAGAGTGAGCTTGGCTCCTGTTGGGCGACGAGGTTTTTTTCTCTCCAGGAGAAGGAAGATGTCGGTACAGTCGCCCTCCTGGGTGGGATCACACTTTTGTCCTAACTTGCTTTCACGTGTTTTGAGTATTCCTTTTTTAAGGCATACACATGTTTACATGGTCTTCCCCTTGTTTATGGGAACTTGGGTCCTTGTGATGTAACCTCTAAACCCAGACAAAACCCTGCAGTCCTGCTTTCTGCCCAGAGGCTGTTCTGTGTGCTGTTCGTCCAGGCCTCTCTGCGGTCCGATATGAGTGGGCACCTCTTCCCTCCTTGTCCTTTCAGTCCGTCCTCCACTTGACTTTGGGGAGGGGTCTTGTCAGATCATTGCGCTTTGTAAAACTTGTTTTATAGATTGTTCTTTCAACTCGTATTTAGTCCTTTCAAAATTTTTGAAGTTGTTAGTATAAGTTGAATACACAGCTCCCGTTTTATTTTGGACTCTTTCCCCATCTGTTCGCTGTTCATAGTTTTCTTACTGCCATCAATTTTTTCCTATTTTCTATTACTGTTTCATGGCTACTCTAATAACTACAACATGAATATTTAGCGTATCATGTTTATATTTATACCCTTCTTCCAGACAGTGCCAGGACCGTAAGACTGCTACACTCCCTTCCTTCCTGACATATCTGCTGCCGCCATTAATTTTAATAGCGATCGTTTTCTCACGATAAGGTTCTGTTGTTTGTACACATTTATTTAATGTTACCCGTACATTTAAGCTATTACCTGCACACCTTCCCACTTTTCAGATGCCAAACAAATGGAGTGACGTTTGTTCAGCCCTTGTTTTATAATTTCCTGTAGTGAGGGTCTCTGTTGGTGGTCAACGTTTCTTAGCTCTGGTTTTGAAAATGTTTTTTATCAGCTCTTGCTATTGAAACTAACCTCCTTTCCCTCCCTCCTTACCACCCTCCCTCCCTGCTTTCCTTTGTGTATAATTGTAGATTGACAATTCTTTTCCACTAGCATTTGAAGATACCTAACTGTCTTCTGGCTTGCTTAAGAAGTGGGGTCTCTATTCAGTCAGCTGTGGAGCACTGTGGCTATGTGGAAGGGGATAAGCTGCAAATCCGAGTGGGCTTCTCAAGGGCTCCCCTCCTGTCACCTCCCTGCCATACGCACTCACACGCACACTCAGCCCCCAGCTCAGACCAGTGAGGAACCTCCATTTGACTCCCCACCTGTGTGAGCCCCCAGCCTTGCCTCTCAACCCCCTGTTCATCTCGCTGGGCAAAGGTGCTTGAGGCACAAGCCATCTGCTGTGTTCCTGACACCTCTCACGGTTCTTACCCACACCTGTTCTAGCCTCAGAACTGGGTGCTGGCGTATGGTTGCTTTGAAGAACTTGTGTCCATTCGTTTGATAGACATTCATTTTAGCTGATTTCAGGGGAGTTAGGTTGTCCAGACATTGAGTCCTCTATCTTGCAAGAAATGGAAATCCTGCTTTCTGGGTTCAAGGATTGACATAATCCAACACTGGATTATGCAAAATAAGCTCCAGGTGCTTTGAAGATTTTTTATTTTTTTTTGAGAGGACACAATCTTAGTTTTATCAGACCAGGAGCTGTCAGAAGAACTCATCGATATGTTAGATGTTAATCTTGCTATTCCTTGTTGGAAAAGTAGGCATGCCCGGGTGACAGTAGGAAAGCCACCTTTTAGTTCATTGTGCCTACAGTACATCCCGTATACCTTACACCGTTCAGGTAGAGTACTTCTTCCGGGAAAAGCCTCACTCACTTTTCTCATCATCATCGCTTCACTTCTCATGATGGGATGACATAGGCCCGTGATTAAAATAACAGGTTATTTGTTTAGTCCAGTCATCCCTTCCAAAGAGTTAATTAGGCAGCAAATAGCACCGACCTCTGAGCTTGTCTGGTGTCCCCCAGGAAATCCCAGAGGGACGAAGGGAGCTAGTTCAGTCATGGCAACTTGATTTGGCCCGACAGCCTCCTCCTGGAGTTCACCAGGCACAAGGGTGACACACAGCCCGCCCCGGCCCTGAGGCGACACTAGTTGTGGCCTTTGAGAACTGGGAATGAGCCTTGTAGAGACTGGCTGACTATTGCCAGGTATTTGAGGAGCTCCCAGCACACAGCAGCTCCCCTCCCGGCCAAGCCCCCACCCGGCCCTGGGAAAGGTTCTGAATATACTAAGACATAAGACAAAGAGTAAGACGTGTGGACAAAGACATCACACTTGTACCTAATGAAATCAAGTGTGGAGGACTTCGCTTCTCTCTGTGGGCAGATGGCTGATGTAGAGTGAACCTTCACACTGGGACCCTTGTCCCCCGAGAGAGCAGTGCTTCCCAGGATGGCACCTACCAAGGGAAGCTTGAACAGCAAGGGGTGGAGGGGACAGAGCTGGGTGGACAGGCCTCAGCCCCACAGGACAAGAGAGAGGCGTGGAACGGAGCACCGAGGCATGCCCAGTCCATTCTTCCCAAGTTGGCCAAATGGATGAAGCATTTCAGATCTCGTGGGAAGCGTGCACAGAGGACCCACTCGATTCCTTCGAAGCTTGCTTTTAAGCGCTGTGACAACGGTCTGCTTGCACCTGGTGGTGCAGAGGTTAAGCACTGAACTGTTAACCACCAACGGTCTGGGGTTTGAACTCATCCACTGTCTCTGCAGGAGGAACACTTGGCAATTTGCTCTAGGAAAGATTTCAACCCAGGAAGCGTTACGAGGGCAGGGCAGCACAATGTCACAGGGAGTCAGAAATCAACTCCTGTGCACCCGGCATCTGGACGGTCGGGAACAGCTTCCTTCCCAGGCTGCACTGGGTCATGATGCCCAGGCAGGACCTTCTTGAGGCTCCCCCGATGGCTTCTAGATGGCCTTCCTGCCTGTTCAGGTGGTCTTTCCCTCTGGCCGGTTGGCGCACCAACCAACCACCAATCACTGGCCCCGAGTGACTTTGGAGGATTTCTCAACTTGCCCCTTGGGATTTAAGAACGCCCTCCCAGAGTTTCTGTTGTGTTTCTAATGTTTGTTCCCCAGAGTTGCATCAGGCTTTTGAAAAACCAAAATACGTAGAGACTGATGTTCTGCTAGGCTTAATAATAACCAAGTGATTCTGTTTTGAAGAGTTTTAAGATGGCCTGAGGGAGTCCCCACACCCACCTGAAACGCAGAGCTCCCATGCAAGGAGAGCGTATCTCCTCCTGGCATCAGGCCACTTTCCGCAACAGTCGTGAAGTGGCATCAGTGTATCTCAAAATGTGAAAATAAAAATAACAAATTATCAAGGGCTCACGAGGGGTGGGGCGGGGAAGAGGAGCTGATACCAAGGGCTGAAGTCGAAAGAAAATGTTTTGGAAATGATAACGTCAACCTATACACCAATGTGCTTGACACAATGGATGGATGGATTGTTAGAAGAGCTGCAAGAGCCCTCCAAAAATGATGTATTAAAGTAAAAAGTATGTAAGTTATCTCATACTAAGCAACACCATTTGAACCTCCTTGTCCTCTGCCTCCCCTCTAGGAAGAGCGCGTTGTGAATCACATGGCAGCTAAGATCGTCGAGAACGTCTGCACCACGTCCTCGGCGCAGGCCCAGGGCTTCATTACCGGGGAAGTCGGGCCCATCTTATGGTTTCTCTTCAAGCACTCCACGGTTGATGCGCTTAGGATCACAGCAATCTCGGTGAGAGGGGTATCCCTTGGGGGCGGTGTTCAGCCGGTAAAGTGTTGGGTGACTAACCACACGGTCAGCAGGTTAAACCCACCAGCTTCCTTGTGAGAGAAAGAGGACGTGGTCAGCACCTGTACAGATTTAGTGTCTTGGACACAGAAAAAGTCCCTTCTCTTTCGTCCTCTAGGATCACTGTGAATCAGAATCATAATGGTGGGTTTGGATTTGGTGGTATAACAGTTAAGTATTTGGCTGCTAACTGAAAGGTTGGTGGTTCGATCCCAGTCCGAGATTCCACAGGAGCGATCTGGTGATCGGTTACACTCACTCGGGTTAAAAAAGGCACGGTGTTAATAATCACAGGAAGCCCGGCAGAAAGAGTTCAAAGTCTACCAGTAAATGATCTTGAATGAAGCATCCTTGAGTCTTCTCCTTAAGGCGCCCATTTTAATCGTGGGCCTTTAAGATCACCAGTCTTGTTTTAATTGGGTTTCTGATGTCCTTTTTCCCTTCATACTTTGCATGCTTTCTTTTTTTTTTTTTTGGCAAACTGTTCTCACTGAAGTTTCAGAACTGGTAGCAGTTGCTTTATCTGGCACATGAAACTCAACAGTCTCATCAGTAGCTTCTTACGCTTTGTTGTTCCCATGCATCGGATCATTGCTTAAGCCCAAACCCCCTGCCAGTAAGTCACTTCTGACGCACAGTGACCCTGCGTGAGGTTTCCGGGGCTCTAAGTCTTTACAGAATGGACAGCTTCATCTTCCTCTCTCAGAGCAGCTGCTGAGTTTGAATCCTTCATCTGTGGTTAGCCGCTCAGTGCCTCACCCACAGCTCCACCTGGCCTCCTGGAGTCATTATAGAAATCTTGCCAATTACTGTGGATTACCCCTTTCCCCTCTTTTGCCCCAGCATCTTATAGAGGACCCCATGATACAGCGTTTCCTTTCATTTGTGGGGTGAGGATCAGTCTGATGCTTCCTCATGATCCATCCGATCAGGGCTTCATTGTCAGGTGAGCTGTTCTGCACAGCGCACCTGCCTGTCAGGAGACACATGATTGCAACCTGTTTGGTATTTTGTGGGGAGATGGTCTGTTAGCTAGACCAAAAGGTAGCCTATTTTGAGATGGAAGAGCTGATTCTATGCCTCACAACAATTTAAACCTTATTCGAGAGCCATACCTCTATTTTTACAAACAAATGAAGCCAGCATTATTTATCTGAATAATATCCTTCAAAAGTTTCTTCAATTTTACCTTAGAGCCACACGTACATACTAAAGGAGCTGCAGTTTACAGACCCCTGAGCTGGGCAGTATTCTGTACCCCATTCAACCTCTTTAGCATCAAAAGGTGACTCCTGTCTGGATCACAAGCCTCCACCGTGGCGATCAGATGATCTTCCCTCTCTTCTATATCGGGATTGTGACGAAAGGTGTGGGACAGGCTTGTATCCTGCCACCACACTAGTTCAGTCTGTATGCTGAGCACATCATCAGAGAATTGGGATTACAGGATGAAGAAAGTGGCATCAGAATTGGAGGAAGACTTATTAACCACCTGGACTACGCCGAGGACACAGCCTCTCTTGCTGAAAGTGAGGAGGTCTTGAAGCACTTGCTGATGAAGATCAAGGATTGCGGCCTTCGGTGTGGATTACAGCTCAATGTAAGAACTGGACCCATAGGTAACACCATGATAGATGGAGAATAGGTCAACGTTGTCATGGATTTTGTGTTGCTTGGATCCACAGTCAATGCTCATGGAAGCAGCAGTAAGGAGATTAAAAGACAAGTTACATTAGGCAAATGTGCTGTAAGACCCCTGTAGAGTCCTATTGAAAGGCAAGGATGTTGCTTTGAGGACTAAGTTGTGCCTGGCCCAAGCCATGGTATGTTCATTTGTCTCATATGCATGTGAAAGTTGGACATTGAGTGAGTAAAGAAGAACTGACACATTTGAATTGTGGAGCAGGAGAAGAATATTGAAGCGCTAGGGTCTGCTGAAAGAACAAGCAACTATCTTGGAAGAAGGACCACCAGCGTTCTCTTTAGTCAAGCATGGCAAGAGTTCATCTCACGTACTTTGGACATGTTGTCGGGAGAGACTAGTCCCTGGAGAAGGACATCGTGTGTTGAAGAAGAGGGGCAGTGGAAAAGAGGAAGGGCCTTGAGGAGATGGGTGGACACAGTGACCGCGACAGTGGGTTCATGCATGGGAACGTGAGGATGGTGCAGGACCGGCTGTATTTGTTCAGTTCAAGATATGGTCACTGTGGATCGGAACTGACTCCATGGCCCCTAACACCACCACCACCAACAACAATCACAACAGCAACATGGCATATCTTATTGGTGAGGTATCTGTTTAGATTTTTATTGCTGCTAATTTTGTAATTGGGTGGTTTTCTCAATGTTGAGGTTTGCATGTTTTCTTTGTCTATTCTGGATACAAGTCAGGTAGCGTTTGCATATACTTTTCCCCAGTAGGTGGCTTGTCATTCTTCTAATCAAACTCTTATTTTGATAAGTAATTATTTCAAAATCACTGAAGACCCGACCTGGGCTGTGATTTATAAAACACACACAAAAAACTTCATACAATACAGGGACTAATGTGCTTTCACGACTCCACAGCCTCAGAGCTGCTTTGGAACTTTCAACAGAGTTTGATATTCAGAAGTGAATAATTAAGGGTTGTAGTCTCTGTGAGCTCTTAAAAATGGACGCGGCTTTCTGGTTGCCTGCGTATTGCTCTGAAACCTACTTATAAGCATTCTAGACAAATCCTTTACCAAGAAATTTCCCTCTGATAATTGGGCTGGGATTTCATGTCAATAGAATTCAGTTCTGCTCTGCCAGCTGCTCCAAGGGTTCTTATAGTGCTAATGAGACTCACTGTTTTGCAGTGCCGAATTCCCCGCTGTGAGGGCCCATGACTTTCTTAAAACTGTGATTGTAGTATGGTCTTTAGGGACTCTTCTAACATGCTTTTGAAAAATGTAGATTTGAATTAAGTGAATAACAACAATTTGGTTTGATTTCATAAGTAACAATTAGAAAAATATTATAAATACAAGTTTTAGAACTTTTGTAATTTTTTAAATCAGAACCAGATTTCTCTTTAGTGACTTCATTTTCATATTCTTATTTTCATCATTAGCTCTTCCTGGTTTTTCTGTTTATTTTTCTTTCCCTTAAATAATTTGGATTTTAAATCTGAAGAACAACCTTTCTTATTTTCTAGGCCATGGTGTTTAGCTTATCCATCTGCAATAAAGAGGAGAAAGAAGAGAGACTTAAGTGTCTTTGAAATATGTCCAAAGTATAGTTCAATTTTTTATTGCAATATGATCTATTCTTATGTCTTTATCTGAATATAAATATCTGATGTGCGTGTGAAATAGTAACTGATTATTGAGACAAGGCTGTTATACGTCCCATCCATATTTACATGAAGTCTTTTGTGTTTTTAGGCAGCATTATTCAGGGGAATCATCAGGAGATGGGGTGGCACAATAGCCAAAACTGTGGACTCACACCTGGTGGCCTCGTGGTTACATGTTGAGCTGATAACTGTAAGGTCTGCAGTTCAAAACCACCACACGCTCCTAGGGAGCGAGACGGGCTTTCTGCTTTCACCCAGCGTGACGGGAACTCACAGCGCAGGTCTCCCCTGCCCTGCAGGGAGTCTGTGAGTTGGTGTTTATGAATGGCAGTGGGTTTGGAGGGGTTTTTAATAGACTTAAACATGCCGGGGTCACGAAGATGACACAAGACCAGGCACCCCTCTGTTCTGTTCCTCAAACGGTTAACCATGAGTCAGAGACACCGTGCTAACAACAACATTTAGTTAATGCTTTGCAAATGCTCATTTTCTAGAACATTTTGCTTACTCAAGTAACTTCAGATATAAATAAATACATTCATAACTAATAAAGCAAACTTTCCTATATGTTTACTTTCATGTGATTTGGAGAATTCCTGGCATAGCCACTGGCATTGGAATGTAACGTGAAACAATTACTATTCAGGCAACATGTATTTATTTGAAAAAAATTGAGTGGCACTGTCTTAGTTACCTAAACTCAATGTCACTGAGTCAATTCCAACTCATAGTGACCTTATAGGGCAGAGTAGAACTGCCCCTGTGGGTTTCTGAGGTGACATTTGTAGTTAGGAAACAGGTAGAGCGATCCTTTCTCACGTTTGACCTGCCTGTCTGCTACTCCCTTTTCAAAGTTCAGCATCACTCTGTTCCTGCACCTTTCGTGTAAGTCAGCATTGGCTCCATGACTGTAGATTTGGTGTTAGGGTTTTCCGGTTGTTGTACTATTGTTTTTTGCCCTTTCCCAAGCACAGTTCATTGAGTCTGCATTTATTCTAACCTTTAGAAGTTCTATTAATCTGTGATTTATAAATTAGTAATTCAAGGGCAGAAATTCAGTCTGATGGCTCTGAGGTTTAGCTGTGCAACTTACTAGCAATGTGTGTTCGTCGGGGTAGACGAGAGAAACAAATCCAGAGGCACTCACATGTGTATAAGGAAGAGATTTACATACAAGAGCAATTGAATATTGAGAAAATGTCCCAGCCCAGTTCAGATCAAGTCCATAAGTCCGATATTAGCCCATATGTCTGATACTGATCTATAAATTCCTCTTCTGACTCACGAAACACAAGCAATGACACCTAATGCATGAAGATCACAGGCCAGTGGGTGAAAAGTCTTGTGGATCCGGTGGCAGTGGAAGCATCTCAGTGCTGGCAGGGGTTTCCAGGTGGCTTCTTCAGCTTCAGGACTCTTGCTGCATCAGCGTAGCTCCATCAGGCTCGCCATCAGTGATGTCTCGCAGGGAGTGAGCATGTGTCCCGCATCCAGTGAGCTATTTATCTCTGTAGCACCTCCAAATGAGGTCATTACTCTGCGACCTGATTGACAGGCTAAACACTGCCCCTTCACTCTTAAGTCTCAAATTGACAACAGATTATGTAAGCACCACACTATGCAACTCTGGGCAAGTAACTTAAGTGTTCATGCCTCAGTTTTATTATCTGCAAAATGAGGATGGCAGTACCTTTCTTCTATGCTGTCAAGAGGATTAAAGGGCATCATTCTCAGATCGTGCCCCTTATAGTCAAACGATGTTCACTATTCACTGTGACTTTTCTCAGCACTTAGCTTAGTGCTGCTGCCAAAAAGGTACACAATAAAAATATTCTTTATTATTTAAAAGTGATGTATTTCTATTAATAGAGTGGTAAATATATGCATTAGTTAACTTATTAAGTTATATGGTTATTGTTATAAAGCTGTGTAACATTTTAAACAACTAGTGTTTACCGGCAGTTGGATTATTAGTATTTTTTTAATATCTGCTGAACTTTCCCAACTTTGTATGCGTGTGTGCCAGAAGAAATAACACAGGAGCAAGCCCCTTCTGCTCGTGTCCCCGAGGGCCGTGTTATCTTCCAGGGCCTGTGAGTGGACTCGGATCCGCCTGACTGTCTGTTCTCCTGTCTCCCCAGGCCTTGTGCAGAATCACTCGCCACTCTCCGGCCGCCTTCCAGAACGTGATTGAGAAGGTGGGCTTGACCATGGTGCTAAGTTCCCTGGCCTCTGCCATCTGCAAAGTCCAGCAGTACATGTTGACCTTATTCACTGCGATGCTGTCCTGTGGGATCCATCTTCAGAGACTCATCCAAGAAAAGGTTAGATTGCACCTGATGATTCTACTTTAAAAAAAGTTATAATTTTCCTAACTGGTAATATTTCTACAAACCTCAGTGCCACAGAACATTCCCCTGAGATAGGATTCTTAATGAATAACATAAACCTCCAATAGCCAGATTCTGCCTGACTGTCCTCGTGTTAATGATGAAAGATTAGAAGTGTGATGAGCCTTCCCTGTGTGCTGTGGCTTGGAATCGACTCGATGGTAGTGAGTTTGGTTCGGGGTCTCGGTTCCCTGGGCGCTCGCATCCTCCAGCTCCGTCTCCCTGTCTCTTTTTTCACATATTTTGCCTTTGAGAGGAGTCCCTTCCTTTTTCTTCTGATTCCGACTGGCTTGCATTCGTTCCTGTGTCTGCTGCTTTACCTATTGAGAGGACCTTTACAGTCCTACTCCTGTTTTGCATTTAGTCACGTCTAGTCTTCTGATTGTCTTTTATTTTGCATGCAATGAATGACCTTTACACATATTCCAGTTACATCACAAAGCTGTGTAGCCATAAAGGAACCTCTGGGGTAGCCTTCCTGTAAGCATCTCCTCCAGCCCCCAGCTGATCAGGGCCCTGGATCTGCAGCATTGACGTCACCTGGGACTCTGTTAGACACGCAGAAGCTCAAACCTGCTGAAGCTGAACCTGCACTTTAATATCAGCTGCAGGTGAGCTGTTTGAATTTAAAGGGTGAGAAGCCCTGTCCTAGAATGTTAGGGGGGAGTGGGGTGTGAAAAAGTAGACCGTGGCTATGGAGTCATGTAAGTTTAGGCAGCAATGGGTCCAAGTTAGAGTATTTTCAATAGCATAACTTCTCCTGGATTGTGCTATACAGATGTGTCTTGTGAGCTTTCATCGGGGGTCGGGGGTTAGCAAGCAGTATTCTCTGAACTGATTGGATTCATTTACCAATCTTTTTTGGCGGGGAGAGCATCTGTCAAATGGGAATTTTGCAGAATATGGTCAAGGCCCTGTTGGCCAGGAGTGAAATGGGACCACTTAAATGAAAAGTGTGGTAAGAAACTTCTGCATTTAATACCACACCATAAAACAATTAATAGTAAAGGTTGAACATTCAATAATTAATTAGAATAATTGTCAAGTCAATATGATCTGTGAAAGTCCGAATAGAGAAAAGCCATGTCTTGCATTTAATTTACTCTTAATTAGTCTGATTTAGATCCTTCTGAGAATTTTGAGTCTTAGAGCAAATATATTTTGCCACAACAGCCCGTTTATCTTCTTGTTTGTTTGCCATAGAAATTTTCAAGTCATTAAACATTAATATCATTAGGAAAATGCACCACTTGAATACTTTTCTTGTGTAATATTTGTCTTAGTTATCTAGAGCTGCTACAACAGAAATATACCATACATGAGTGCCTTTAACTAACACATTTATTTTCTCACAATTCAGGAGGCTAAAACCTCACACTCCGAGACTCCAGAACTAGGAGGCAAAGGGCATTTATAGAGGTCTAAATACAGGCATTTACATATTTAAATATATTTATGCATAACAATAGGGAAATAGATCTATGTACTCATATTTATATGTTAAGTATTGAGGTAGCAGATGGACATTGGGCCTTGACTCAAGTACTCCCTCAATGCCAGAACACTTTGTTCTAATAACCTGGGATTCCATGATGCTCACCTTCCTGACACAGTTGCTGAAGACAAAATGGGTGCATAAACAAACGTGGTGAAAAGCTGATGGTACCTGGCTATCAAAAGATATAGCATCTGGGGTCTTAACGGCTTGAAGATAAACAAGTGGCCATCTAGCTGAGAAGCAACAAAGCCCACATGGAAGAAGCACATCAGCCTGTGTGATAACGAGGTGTTGATGGAATCAGATATCAGGCATGAAAGACCCAGAACAAAAAATCATATCAATGTGAATGAGGGGGACTGTGGAGTGGAGACCCAAAGCCTATCTGTAGATAACTGGATATCCCTTTATGGAAAGATCACAGGGAAGAGATGAGCCAGTCAGGGTGCAGTATAGCACCGATGAAACACAACTTTCCTCTAGTTCTTTAATGCTTCCTCCCCTCCACTACCATGATCCAAAATCTACTGTACAAATCTGGCTAGACCAGAGCACGTGCACTCTGGCTAGACCAGAGCACGTACAGTTAAGAGCTTGCAACACAGGGAATCCAGGACAGATAAACGCCTCAGGATCAATAATGAGAGTAGTGATACCAGGAGGGGAAGAGGAAGGTGGTGGTGGGGGGGAGGGGGAACGAATCACAATGTTCAACATATAGTCCTCTTCTAGGGGGATGGACAACAGAAAAGTGGGTGAAGGGAGATTGCAGTCAGTGTAAGACATGAAAAAAAACTATAACTTATTAAGGACTCACGAGGTAGGGAGAAATGAGTTGATACCAAGGGCTTAAGTTGAAAGAAAATGTTTTGAAAATTATGATGGCAACTTATGTATAGATGTGCTTGACATAATGGATGTATGTATGGATTGTGATAAGAGCTGTAAGAGCTCTCAATAAAATGGTTTTAAAAAGTTCCACTCAATTCTGAATGAGAATTGTATAAGACCTAAGTATGAATTTGTAATTGTGCACATGATGTATGAAGACCAAACCTTTTAACCACTGAACCACACCAGGGCTCCCACAAAAAGACAAAGAATGGCTTTATAGAATTGCTAAAAGTAAAAGTAATAATAATGGCTAAAGGGCCATTTCAATAAGAAAATAAAACAGTTATAAATACATTTTTATCTAACACCATTGCTCCACCATTTATGATACAAACACTGACAATTGGAAGTAGTGATAGTTTTACAATATAAGTTGGCAATTTTAATATACCACTTTTCATAATGAAGAGAACATTTAGAAATGAGGTAATAGATATGTATAACATAACCAACTGTACCTAACATATAATGTGTGTATATGTGTGTATGTGTGTAGTTTTCTACCCAGCAACACCATAATATACATTCTTCACCAGTACACTTGGGTCATTGTCCAGGATAGACCATTTTGTAGGTCACAATATAAGTTTGAATAAATTTTAGAGATGGCAATCATCCAAAATGTCTTCTCTGATCACATGGAGTAAAATTAGAAGTCAACAACTGGTGTAACACTGGAAAAGACACACCTGAAGAAATGAAACAAAACACGGTGGGTCCGAGAAGAAATCAACAGAGATGTCAGAGAACTGTTGCTGCTCTTTGGTGCTGTTGATTCAGTGCTGACTCATAGCAACCATGCACAGCAAAGCACAACACTGGCAGTCTCACTCCACCCTCAGAATTGTCGGCCGTGAGCCCACTGCGGCTACTATGCCCGTCCATCCAATAGGGGCCTTTCCCTTTTTCACCCCTCTACTTGGCCAAGCATGGTGTTCTTCTCCACGGACAGGTCTCTCCCCAGACATGTCTGCAGTATGTGAGGTGACATCTCACCATCCGTGCTCGTCAGGAGCTGTCTGGCTCTGTTCTTTCAAACAAGTTTGTTCATTCTTCTGGCTGTTCAGTGTTCTCCACCAACCAACACCATATTTCAAAGGCATCCATTCTCTGGTCTTGCTTATTCATCATCCACCTCTCACATGTGTATGAGCTGGTCACAAATACCATATCTTGGGTCAGGTGTACCTTAGTCCTAAAAGTGACATCTTTGCCATATAACACTTTAAAGAGCTTTTTGGGGGGCGTGGGGGGCAGCAGATTTGCTCCATGTAATAAGTCACCTGATTTCTTGACTGTTGCTTTCATAGGGCGTTCTGGTGATGTGGGTTATGTATTCGGTTACAAACCACAAGGTCGGCAGTTTGTTACAAACCACAAGGTCGGCAGTTTGAAACCACCAACTGCTCTCTAGAAGAAAGATGAGGTTTTTACTTGTAAAGATTTACCATCTTAGAAACCCACGGGGCCGTTCCACTCCGTCCTCACGGGTTCCTGTGATCCATAATGGACCAGATGGTATTGAGCTTGGTTTTGGTTCCTTGGATCCAAATAAAATGAAATCCTTGGCAACTTCATTCTTTATCTGTCATGATACCTCTGGGTCCAGTTGTGAAGATTGTACCGAAGACTGTAGTCCTTCCTCATTAACTTCTTCAAATCGTCCTCAGTAAGTCCTACAAATCCTCTTTGCTTTCAGCAAGCAAGGCTATTCCATCCATATTGCCTCAAGATTTTCATGAAAATGAAGCACACCAGAGAAAAACGTATGGGATGCTGTGAAGGCAGTGCTTAGATATTTATAGCTGTAACTGAATACCTTAAGAAAGAAAAAAGATCTCCAGTCAGTAATGGATCTTTATCACTTGAACTAACCCAAAACAGCCAGTAGGCAGGAGATAACAAAGATCAGAGCAGAAATAAATTAAATGAAGGATGGAAAATGCAAGCAATGAAACCAGAAGGTGGTTTTTGTAAAGAGTAATCAAATGGAAAGGATTTTAGGCAGACAGGAGGAAAAAGCATGCGCGCAGATGCAAACATCTATAATGAAAGCAATATACATCCCATCACATAGCATGAGACCACTTTGAACCACTGAACGCTCACAATACTGGTCACCTGAATGAAGGTTACTAATTCCCAGAAACCTGCAAGCTGCCTACAGTGACTCAGGAAAGAGAAGTTCTGATTATACATATGGAGAACAAATGCAATCGGTCATCTAAAACTTCTCGGCAAATTGAAGTCCTGGGCCAGATAGCTTCATGAGAAAATTATACAAAAAGTTTACAGACGTGATTCAAGTCATTATTCAGTAGTTAAAAACAAAAACAAATAAAAACCTCCCCAAACAAACAGAAATAGAAGAATAAAGAATATTTCCTAAGTAATTCTAGGAAGCCAGCATCATCCTGATACCGGGGTGTGTTAGGCACGGTTCTCTACAGAAACGAAACCAGGACACTTATGATTTTATATAGATCAATAGATTTATACAGTGAGAAGGAATGTAACAGCTCATTAGTTCACACAGCAGTAC